ATCGCGTAATAGTTTTTACTTTTCAAAGTTAGAGCTCACAGTCCCCAATTAACGTTCTCACTCGATTTTCTCCTTCCTCCTACCTTTATCGGTATTTATCCTTTGCTTCTATTATCTCTGTCATGTTCTTCTATCACCGTCGATGTTGCCGTCGCCATCGCCTCATCCTCTTTATTCTTATTTGTGAGTTTTTCACCTCCATTCTTTTCGTGGATTTTGTTGTTTTTGTGGTTTGATATGATTATTTTCTTTGGTTAAAAATATGATGTGTAATATGAGTTTAAAGAGATTTAATTTTTATCAGATCTAAGTTTTTGATTTTATCTTTATTAAATTTTAGTGGCTTCGATCTGGTTGTTGAAGATAAAACTAAGTGGCGCTATTACGACAGAAAAGAATCTACGTTTACTCCATCAGAATGTTTTTAACTGATTATTGGTTAATTGATTTTCAGACCTCTTTCTTTGAAGTTTTGTTCTCCCGTTCCATCCTGATCAATAAGGTGAAATGTATACTAAAAAAAAAACCTTTTCACGACGATTTAATGTGTTCTGGGTTCCACGGCTCTGTCCGTCCAGCCGACGTGGATTCAGTCGCTGACGATGACGTGCGTAGAGGGTATAGTACTACCGGCCTTGTGTGTGTGTGTCAAGGCTATATATAAATATATATATATATATATTGGCCAGAAAGGCTATATATATATATATATATATATATATATATAACGACATGGGAAAACAACAAATTAGATGTGGACAGTACAGCTGCATGCAGATAGTTACCTATGTACGTATGTATATTTTAAAAAAAAAACCAACGTACATTTTCTACAAATAATTAGTATGACTAACTATTTAATTTTTATAAATTGGTTATATAATTTTTACATTTAGAATTGAAAATTTTCGACGGCGAAGTGGAGAAATGAAAGAGGAGGGAGGGCCTGTGTATTGGACAGTTAGTCGAGAACGGGCTCTTCCTGCCATTCTGCCCACATGCATACTCCGCGTTTCATCCTTGCAAACTATGGCTTTCAATCCTTCATCTATATAATATATATATATATATATATATATATTTATATATATAGAGTCGTGGAATGCCTCTCGCCGAATTATTCCCTCCGGCTTTACCCTATTTTTCATCAACCACATTTGATTCACTCTTGTCAGCAAGAAACTGAACTCACAATAATACTGGTCACAATGGCTTGTGCACTAAACAATTAAATCCGATTTTAGGTCTTCATAACTTTTGTCCTTTTTTTTTTTTTTTTATCACTCATAACATACATATATACGCTCGATGCACAGCCAATACTGACCACACGCAAATATATATATTCCTTTCGATCTTAATATAAGACTTAAATTACTAATTTGAGTAGATTAAAGATGTTAGTTATATTAGTTCATATGATATGCTTTTTTAAAATACTCTAAGTATTTTTTTTAATCCCCTCATTCTCTCTCCTACTTGATTATTGGTAAGAAAATAATAATAGGATTAATTTGAAAAAAGTAATAAATATGTAAAACAGGTTTTATATATAGAATCAACATCAACTTTCTAATTAAATCCTCTCCATCGTGGTGCTTAATTATCCACACTCAAATCGATTTGTCGCACCATCTCTAAGAAGTTAGAAAAAAAAAGAGAGAGACATTGTCTTCCGTGGAGAACGTCGACCGGGCAATCAAAGTAGTTGTTGTCTGGTTGATGCACGCCAACCGCATTTAAAATTTGCAATTCCCACCATTCGTTACTATGTGCTTAAACTTCAGCCTTCTATTAAGATGACAGGCGCTCGGAACCCAAAAAAAAAAAAAGAGCAGTCCGTGGCATCAGCCGTCAAGGGCTTAGTTGGGCGGGGCAGGATTTCTTTTGGGCTTGTGCTGTACGACAAGTTTCATATTTGTGGACTTTCTCCTTGCAGCACATAAACAAAATCAAATATACTAACCGGGAATTAAAGTTCAAATTACTGTTAAGAGAACTACCCATATATAGTATCTGAAAGTATTTTGAATAAGTTTGTCTTCAATAAGAAGAAACTTATACTTTAACCAAAAAAAAATTTATGAAACATATAACCATGACCGATTCCATGATAGTTAAGTAATCAAATACGTTCAGTTTGATGCCTGTCAAGTTTCTGCGTAATTCCTTCCTTTGGGACGGCATATACACGAGGTTGCTACGTTGCCTGGTTTCTTTGGGTTAGTGAGTAAGAGCACGAAAGAACACGGAGAATAGTGCTGCAAGTTGCCACATCTGGAAAAGCTGCGGCCACGTCATCCGTCTGACTAGGCGCGCCAATTTAGTGCTATTAATGTAAAGCGGGTTTTGGTTTGCTTCAGCGATGGCTAATCTTTTTTAATGGCATACGCCTACTTGCCTTCCTTCCACATTAATGAGAGAGGCCAGAGGCAATCACTCGCCTCTTCTTCCTCCATCCTCACCCACACCCCACTCCCTCGCATTCTCCCATAATCATGATGTGTGGTCCAAAAACTGGGGTGCTACTATATAATAATAAAATCTCCTCCTTCATATAGAGTATTGTGTTCATTTATCTTGGTATTTCGGCTGTTAACTCTTTTTTGAGATGACATTTTAAATACGAGCTATCACGTATCAGCTGAAGAGTCCGTTTTTTTTTTAAAAAAAAAAAAACTCAATTCTAACCTACACGGAATACATTCCTGAGATGGTTTTGGAGTTTTCTAATGCATCAAAATTAAATAAAGGCGAAAAATAATGTAGTGCGTGGTTCGATATGTAGCAGCGATGTTAATAATGCGATCCTAGTAGTATTGATATGTGGTGATTAGAAGCTAAGTAATGGCTCTGGCTGAAAATCATGTACTAATTAATAAACGTCCAACGGTGCGGTGGGTGGGGCGATTGCAGGGATGTATGATCCGGTCCAGACGAGTGACGACCCGGTGAAGGGATGTGATTAAATGATTGTTCGATCCGTTGAGTGAAAATGAATGCTGGCCAATTCATTTATTGTTGGAAATGTGGCAGCGTAGCATTGAAATGATGACGCACTCCAAACCAAACCTCTTCAGGAAGGCGCCTCCACCACTCACCTTACCTATATACTAATATACACATGTTTAATAAGTTAAAGAAGTTTGTTAAGTTAATTATTTATAATAAATAGTTGTTTTTTTTTTACAAAACACCCATACTAATTATATATGTGTATTAGCTAGAATTACTATTTGATGAAATTTTTAAAATGTGAAACTATTAGAATGACCACTACTTTGAAAAAATGGATAAATATGATAAACAAAATGTATTAAGGTATTATATTTAGGACCAAATTAAAAGCCAAACTAGCTCTTATATTAAGAATTGGAAGTAGTATATGCATCTAGAGGCCTACTTAACACACTCTGCATGTCAATTCTAATACTAGTTAGATTGGCCCCGTGTTTTGCATGAATTAACCTTTAGAGGGCCTCAGACACACTTCATGAAAAAGCTATTTTAATAATTTAGTTAATGATGGATAGACAGAAATCGATTATATTACAGCCTTTTTATGTCGCAATTTGGTGTCGTGACATAAAAATATTCATCTAAGCATTAAATTAAGCCTTCAAGAACTACTGGCAGGTTCTGGTAAAAAAAAAAAAAAGAACTACTGGCAGGTACTGTAATTAGTATGTGCATGTTCATTTCAATGTAAAGTAGAATACTCACATTCCATTGAATAATGGACCACGAAGCTAAAGACTATTATTCAAAAGAAATGACATTTAGATATTCAAATAAAAATCATGACTATTTTAAAAAAATTCAAAATATTACAAATGATCAAAATTATTACTGATACTTTCTATATAAATGATCATTTAGTATTTTTATTTTAATTATCGTACTTTCATGTGTTTTTAAACCTGCAAATGTACAATACCCCGACGATATTCACATATCAAAGGTGCCGTTTCAATTAGACCAAGAAGGGTGGAAAGAGTTAAAATATTCTGCAATTTAGAGAAAAATTAGCAACACATTCTGGTTTTAAGGAGAACGTACGCTCTCCTTTATCAGGCTGGAAAGAAACTCTTGCTTTTATATTATTCATGTATCAGAAGCACACGTAAACTTTGCATGAGTATGCTACAACGATGACGGATTAACAACATACTCGTGGAAAGTATTTAATTATTAATAATGTCATGATAGTCAAATCATCAAATTATGAAGTGACACCTGTACTGGACTAATAATCCATCAGTTTTAGGGAGGGAAAATCGCGGTTTCACTCCTTTAGCAGATGAACATGCGCATTAATTAGAACCGCGCTGCGTCACAGTACACATAAATTCTGCCACCAAACCTACCCCATGTGGAGCCGATCTTCAATTGCAGCGCCTCTTTTGATTTTTCTTTTTGCAAAAAAAGGAATAATGTAAAAGCCTCTTCTCCATCGAACATATATAAGTACTCTGCTTATCCGTTATCCGTCAACCAATCGTAAAGATCTGAATCTGAAGTTGTTTAATCTGTACTTTCCCTGCCCGCGCCATATAGCCAAATCAAAAAATGGAAACCCTGTCTATCTCTGCTACCACTCGATTCCTCGTCCATTCATAACCTCACGTCCAACATTCTTGCTCTTTTTAACTTGAAACAAAAGCTGTCATCGCTTATTTTCAACAAAAACAAACTGCTGGTTTGGAGCCTAAAGTATTTCTTTCTTTTAAGACTGGGTCCGTGTAAATTAAATTATCTCTTTGCCGGAGCTATAAACTTTTAAGTCGTTAATTAATATTAACGGTTACTTACTGCTACAGGTGTGGCGTGAATTCTGACATAGCTAAGGGGAGAGAGAGAGACGTTTGGTCAGGAAGATCTTCAGGACGAAGTGCTTTCACTATGCAAAGGTAATAAATGGAATTGGCCAATACTGTGCCCATCACGTATTCAACTACCTCACTGCATCACTCATTACTAACTGTTCTATTTCCTATGAAAATACTTTCTTTTCACCTATTTCTTCGGCCAATTCTATAAGAACATGTTCCTCTTGCTAGTTGCTTCCGTCCCACCGTCAGGGCTGATCCTTCCGCAGCAGGTCACGGCCAGTCTCATACTGTTGTGTCTCTATCTTTTATGATCGTCGTCGTGATTCTATTTCTTCCAAAAATTTTGGATCTTTTGGGCTTTTATTTTTACTACTCTTAGTTTCATAAAGTACTGTTCAAGTTGGTTGGCTGTTCATGTTTTGCTTTAGTACTGCTGGGTAGAATTCAAAACTTGACACGTATTGCAGTGTCTATGGGTCCAATCATACTTAATTCTAGTCACTTTCGTTATCATGGAATTCAGAAGTCATTCATCCACAGCATGTAATTTTCCTGTTTGCCATCACAGACCGGCGACACGAGCGGTTGAATTATCCACTTATATTGAAGCGAGTTATAGCTTCTTCTTCTGTCTCTGCTCAAATGAAGAACTTTTCAGCTAAGGTCGAGGAAGGAAGAGAAGGTGGAAATGGGAAGCCAACAGTCGGTCCCGTATATCGAAACCTGCTCTCCAAACACGGGTTTCCTCCCATGGATCCCGATTTGAACACCGCTTGGGATATTTTCGAGTAATTTTTTTTCCCTCCCTCCCTTACTTTTTAGTATCTTCTGATTGCCACATCATAGCTTTATGTTAATAGATAACCGGAAAATTGTATTCTTGTAATCGGGATTTTTGTCTGGTGCATATTAAATTGAGCATTTGCTTCATGATTCTAGTCAATCTGTCAAGAAGCACCCCAAGAACCGGATGCTGGGATGGCGTGTTTTTACTGATGGAAAGGTATATTTTGCGACTATTTATTTTCTCATCAGTAATAGATGACTGACTTCTTGCTATAGATAGGGCCTTATGCCTGGAAGACGTACGAGCAAGTTTATGATGAAGTTCTGGCAATCGGCTCTGCTCTACAAGCATCTGGCGCCGAACCCGTAAGTAGTTGCACACGCCCATTATCATACACTGCGTACACTAGCTTATCCTAAAAGGGAAATCTTCTGGCAAATGTTTGGTTTAGGGCTCCCGAATTGGAGTTTATGGGTCTAACTGCCCACAATGGATTGTGGCAATGGAGGTTTGTCACTTCTGCCACTTCCCCAAGTTTTTAACTTGTGTTCACCCTGTATGAGGGCATCATAAGCATCAAGATTTATTTATGGATGTAGGCTTGTTGTGCTCACAGTTTGATTTGCGTGCCTCTCTATGACACCCTCGGTAAGCTTCTTCTGTATTATGTCCTGAGTGCTTCCTCTGTTTTACTCATCCCTGAACCTCAATGAACTGCTGCGCAACCAACTCTCTGCCTTCTCCTCTTTTTTAACGATCCCAATATTCATACCTACTCTCGTCATTTGTTATTTTTTCATTCATGAAGAGTCTGAAATAAATTATTAACATCACCTGCAGGGCCTAGTGCTGTGAATTTTATTATAGATCACGCAGAAGTAGATTTTGTTTTCGTCCAGGATAAGAAGGTTGCAAAAGTAAGAATCAATCACTTTCTTGATCTAAATCTTGTTGGATTCCCAATTTGGGATTTTTTTTTTTTTTCCGGGAGGCAAATCATTAGGTTTCTGACCTGATGCATTTACTTGCTTCTGCAGCTTTTTGATCCTGACTGTAAATCTGCTCAGCGACTGAAAGGTAAAAGTATAGCTACTTTGACCTTGCAAGATTGTATTTGTGCTGAAGAATTAGTATTCAGATGGCTTGCAAGAATATCTGATGACTGAGTTGGGTTATGGTTACAGCGGTGGTGTGCTTCACTTCATTAACGGAGGAAGAGAAAGACAAGGCAGCCAGCATTGGAGTGAAGCAATATTCATGGGACGAGTTCTTGGACATGGTTGGTTTTTGAGGAAATTGTCTTTATAATAGTATATACTCCTTCGTGCATTTGGTTAAATATTGCTAGTTAATACTACCAGAAGCGTTGTAAGAATATGTAAGATCCCGCAAGATTATGGGGCTACCTGCTGGTTGTTCAGAAAAGCTTGGTTGGTTTTGAAATTCTCTGTATTTCTGGTTAATCCAAAGGGCTTATTATCTTACAGGGGAAGGAAAATCCATCAAACGTTTTACCCCCTCAATCTCATAACATCTGCACAATAATGTACACGAGTGGGACCAGTGGAAACCCTAAGGGAGTCGTTTTGACGCACGAGAACATAGCCGCACTAGTAAGAGGAATGGATCTTTTCATGGAACAGTTTGAAGACAAGGTAATTGCGATCTCATGCCCCAGAGCGGCCGGCTAATCATTATGATCCCATGTTACATCCCTTGTCCACAGTGACAAGACAATTTTTATCCTAATTCACTGATATCCATATGTATTGCTTCTACATGCGTTAGAACTCTTTCCATACCGTACGAGAGAACAGGTAAGACTAAATGTTAGATGTACTGAAAATTAACCGATGTCCCGGTAACAACAAAACGTTCACGTGTAGAGTCTTTATTCGACTCAAATTTTGATACGTTGGATTTCCTCTTCAGCTTTTCTGACGAGTAATGTTTACTTGGTACAGATGACTGTGGATGATGTGTATTTGTCTTTCCTCCCATTGGCTCACGTCCTTGATCGCACAATTGAAGAGTACTTTTTCCATAAGGGTGCATCTGTAGGATACTATCATGGGGTACGTATAAGCACCCAAAATTAGCTGTTTGCCTTTGTTAAAATCATGACACGCTTGACTTTTACGAGTGGTAATAAAAGAGAATTACTTCCCATAAAGGAGAAAATTAAAGCCCCAAACGAGAACACCCCAAGAGGCCTAAACCTTTTTGCTGCTAGCCATTAGAGAGGAAGATATAGGTAAATCAAAGAAACCGATTAAGGGAAACCAAACCGTAGTTTGGAAAAGTGATTTTGCAGAATAGATTTTGAGAAGAATAGATTCTGGAAAGAATAAATGTTATGAAAAAATAATTTTGAGAAGTGAGAGTGTTTGGATAGTTGTTATCAGAAGCACTTTTTATATATACAAATTACTAATAAAAAGACATAAGTTAATATGATAATTATAGAAAAATAGATTTTATGATATATTTTAATTTGAAGGAATAAAATTGTTAATAATATATTTTTTATTAACATAATTAATAATACATAAGATAATATAATTAATAAATAATTAATATGTATATATATTTTTAAAATATAAGATTAAACATGTTTATAAAAAAATATGTTTATAAAAAAAATAACAAGATACATATCCTATAAGCTCTCACACTCTCCTTTTTTTCTCCAAAAGCAAAAAATTTCTGCTTTTTCCAAAGCCACGGTTTGCTCAAAACCAGTGGGTGTTTGGGTGACTTATCACTCAAACCATGATTTGGAGTGTCACCCAAACGGGGCCTAATACTTGCTTTACGCTATGGGTAGGTGAATGGCATAAATGCCTGACACCATACAGTAAAATTGCTGACTTAAAGATGATTGTATTCGGGTAGATGATGGTAGGTAGCTTATAAAGAACTACAGATTATTGTTACCTACAGTTTTCGAACGTACACTATACATATGATGTTTAAATGCATATATCTACACACACATATGTATGTATGCATTCAAATTGAGGGATGGTGAGAAATAATTTGTTATGCATTTGGATCTCATGAACTACTTGCACAAAGGATCTTAATGCACTGAGGGATGACTTAATGGAGTTGAAGCCCACACTGTTCGCTGGGGTCCCACGTGTATTCGAAAAAGTCTATGAAGGCAAGTTTATAATATATATGTATATAAATGCCATCCGAAAATCCTCCGTATTGTTTGTTTGACCCATTAAAACTCAGTCAAACTGATATTTGCGCCAGGAATCAAGAGCGCAGTGGCGGAGCTAAATCCTATAAGGAGAACAGTTTTTGGCTGGCTCTACAATCAGTAAGCTGATAATCTAACACATACATCCAAGCCCCCTTTTTTTTTTTGTTTGGGGGGGGGATGATATTGAAATGTACATTACATTTGTACGGTAACACAGCAAACTTGGGTGGATGAAGAAAGGATACAAACACAGCGAAGCATCACGTTTGGCAGATCTATTGGCCTTCAGAAAGGTTGTGGACACTACCCATTTATAGAACTATATCACTTGACAATGGTTGCCTCTTATGTTGGTAATGTTATTGACATGGATGACTTGCTGTGGCACGCGGGATTTAAGGTTAAAGCTCGGCTAGGGGGGCGTGTTCGACTTATAATATCTGGAGGCGCAGCCTTGAGCACTGAGGTGGAAGAGTTTTTGCGCGTTACGTCTTGTGCCTTCGTATGCCAGGGCTATGGTAATCATTTCTCTTACTACGGCGATGGCACCGTGTTTTCCACAGTATCTAAACGAAGGATTCCACTGCTCATAACTCACTCAAGATTAGTATTAGAATCTATAGAAATAGATTGTGTCTGTGAGTAAGAAAATGAAGGGTTACGTGATTATGTGGTGGTGATTTCAGGGTTGACCGAGACATGTGGGTCCACTACCCTGGGCTTTCCTGATGAAATGTGCATGATCGGCACGGTGGGAGCTGTGTCCGTATACAATGAGATGCGGCTGGAGGAGGTTGCAGATATGGGCTACAATCCTCTTGCAACTCCTCCCTGCGGTGAGATTTGTGTCAGAGGCAAAACTGTATTTACCGGATACCACAAGAATCCCGAGTTGACGAGGGAAGCCGTTCAAGATGGCTGGTTTCACACAGGTTTTTTTTGGCCAACAATTAATTTTAGTCCTTGTCGTTTGTTTTCTCGCTTTTAGTTTGACGCCGTCTCACATTGGCGTGCTCAGGGGACATAGGAGAAATGCTTCCTAATGGCGTTGTCAAGATTATCGATAGAAAGAAGAACCTTATAAAACTGTCCCAAGGAGAGTACATAGCCCTCGAGCATTTGGAAAACATTTATGGAATCACTCCGATTGTTGAAGATGTAAGCGCTTGAATCGTCCCCGGTTCCGGCCATTTTAGTGCTTACCAGGCACGCTGTGGATTAGTTGGTAACTAACTAACTAACTGCTGGTATTTGTGTGTTAAGATATGGGTCTATGGGGACAGCTTCAAGTCAATGCTGGTGGCGGTGGTGGTTCCAAACGAAGAAATGAGCAAGAAGTGGGCATATTCAAAGGGCCACACGGTTCCTTTCCCAGAACTCTGTGGTCTAGACCAGCTGAAGAAACATGTACTATCTGAGCTCCACTCTACCGCGGAGAGGAATCGGGTAACATCCCTTTATCAGGATTAAATTAGCTCTTCAACTCCCCAATCCTGTGCGCATCTTTCTTCGTCTCTGGTATCAATAACTCTTTCCTGTTTGTGAAATTAGCTCAAGGGCTTTGAACGCATCAAAGGAGTCATTTTGGAACCCCTGCCATTTGACATGGAGAGAGATTTGGTGACTGCCACGTTGAAAAAGAGAAGAAACAACATGCTTAAATATTACAAGGTACACCTTTTTTGCCAATATAAATTACGCTGAAATCCCTTTTTTTTGTTTTTGTTTCGGTAACTGCAACATTTACTCATCTATAAAATGCTCACAATAACTTGTCATTTACCAGGCGCAAATAGATGAACTATACCAAAGTTTGTCGGGAGACAAGAATAAAATATAGAGAACTGGAATTTGGATCTTCTCTGTTATTTTTTTCGATCTTTTTTCAAATCCTGTGAAGGAAAGAAGGCAATTGTATTAGACTAAGGGCCTGTTTGGGTATCCCCAAACCATGGTTTCAGAAGCACTTTTCCGCAAAACGAGATAATCTCCTCCACATATTTACTTCGTAATCCGTAAAAGTACTTCTGAAACCATGGTTTGGTTTCTATCCAAACACACCCTAAATAAGCCCTATGATGCACTTTTCTTTTTGTTAGCAGATTAAATTATGTTGTGTTCTCTAAAACTATTTAATGCGTTGCGTGGCTAGTTGTAAACCGTTGTAACTAAAGATGAGTGAATACGTATAATTTATCTTTTTTTTTAAATGCGAAGTATTCATCTTGTTTTTCTTAAAACTATTTGCTCTAATCCTCAACTACTTTTCGAAGCTCCAACCTTCAACTGTTATTTGACCTTAAAACTATTGCAATTTGAAAGAATAGTAGACCGTACTATACACGAATGTTAAACAATACAACTCATCTTGAATTTTATATAAATAAGATGCGTTGAAAACAAATGTAAACTAAAGCAATACGATGCTCTAGGTCAAATAAAATAGTTTGTAAAATATTGTCCAAAAATCATTCAGAAACAAATATCTCAAAAAAAAAAAAAAAGGTTAGGTACCAAAGAAAGAAATTGGCTACAACAGAGGAGGTCTATAAGGTAGGTCAGCACGAGCATAGAGGCGAGACCATTGCTTCATCAGAGAATACTGAGAAACTGCAACTAAATTTCTTCCAGGAGGGCCAACTCCTCTAGGTGAGAGCTGGAGCTGAGTTAAGGGAAATCCTAACCCGTGGAGTGAAGAAATTACCATGCTATAAATAAACCACAAACTATAAACTATAAAGCAGCTCTACCAACTTCCTATACTCCTAGCCCCATATTTGTCAGTTCCTACTCCTCTTTCATGTAACTGACCCTGGTAACTCAAATACGACACGGATTTAAGAGAAGGAAAAAGAAAAGATTGGCATTGCAACATCCGCACAGTATCAAGCTCAGCAAACGGGGGCAATTAAATCAATCCCCATCAATCGCCGCTGCCACAATTTACCTAAATAGGTTGTCGAAAACATATAAACACACTGCCATTAGTATTGTTTGAATCAACAAGCTAACCTGGGCAATTTAGCCACAACCAGTCTCCCCCGCCAATATCAGAGTCTGTTTAACTTTCAAACTTCAAAGCCTGAAAACACTCCTCATTCTGTTGCCAAAATTTCATGGTAACTCTGTGAGCAAGGTCTCCCAGCCCACCTATTAATTAGATTGTTGCCTGTGGTGTTGTTGACGTTGATGGCCCCTCTGGTGTTGATGTTGATTTTCCCACTGCTTGCTTTTTGCCATTTTAACCGTGCCCATCAAAACCTTAATCTCGCGAAGTAGCAGTCGAGACAAGGAAAATTAATGCGAAACTCTAATAATTCGGCCATATAATGAATCAAACTCTTTGAGGACAGGATCCAAATCCCTGGAACTGGTAAACCCGCGACGCAGAAAAGTTGGGATGAGTTATGGCGGGCAAGGGGGAGAAAAGAATCCGGAATTACCGACTAATGAGCCATTATCCTTCTCAGATGTTATTTCATTCGATGCGCTGAGCCGGGACTCTCGATCTGTGCCCGTCGGCTGGGGCTGAAGCGGGGCGAACCGACAGTAGGCTTTGGAGTCATAGATTGGGCCTAAATAAATTAGGCCTGAACTTTTCATGTCCAGCCTGAATGGCCCTTCGCATATCTTATTCTAATCCAACCCAATTAGATTTTTAAATTGACCTCAATGACCCGCACATGCTTTTCTTTTTGGGCCTGGTCACCCGCCCATGTTTTGAACCGACATTTTTCCTTTTGCCCAGAGTTTATTCAACCAAATGACCAACGGTCTAAGGGCCTGTTTGGCCAACCTTCAAAACCATGATCTGGATTTCAAACTTGCCAAATAGAGAAAGAAACTGACAAACCATAGTTTTAAATCAAAACCATAGTTTGGAGTTTAAAACTATGATTTCAGAAGAAGTAAATTCATTCTGCTTCTAACTCAAATTGGAGAGTATGATTATGCTTATCAAAGTATATTTATAAACATATTTAATCTTATATCTTATAAATATATAAATACACATATTAATTATTTATTAATTATATTATCTTATGTATTATTAATTATGTTGGTAAAAAAATATTATTAATAATTTTATTTCTTCAAATTAAAATATATCATAAAATCTATCTTTTATATAATTATCATATTAACTTATGCTTTTTTTAATAATTTGTATATATAAAAAGTGCTTCTGATAACAACTATCTAAACATTTTCACTTCTCATAATCTATTCTTCCTAAAATATATTCTCCAGACCATGATTTGGTTTCATCCAAACACCTCCTAAGTCCACCTTTGATCGCGTCTATATATCTTGGTTATTAGTTTGAGTGCATCGGCTTAGATAATGAGATGATTCTAGTTCTGGGCTAGCAGAATTAATAAAATGTATTTAGGGGGTGTTTGGATAAAATCAAACCATGGTTTGAAGAATAGTTTCTGGAGAATAGATTTTGTGAAAAAGTAATTCTGATAAAGTGAAAGTGTTTGGATAACTGTTATCAAGAGCACTTTTTATATGTGTTAATTACTAAAAAAACATAAATTAATATGATAATTACATAAAAGATAAATTTTATAATATATTTTAATTCGAAGGAATAAAATTGTTAATAATATATTTTTTGCCAACATAATTAATTACATATAAGATAATGCAACTAATAAATAATTAATATGTGTATATATATTTATAAAATATAAGATTAAATATGTTTATAAAAAAAATGATTGAGGGGTATTAAAATCATATTATCACCGAGATATACTCTAACAAGTATAATCATATTTTTTAATTTGAGTTAGAAGCAGAATGGATTTATATTTTTTGAAACGATGGTTTTAAGTCCAAAACCATAGTTTTGGCCCCAAACTATGGTTTGTTAATTTTACCCCTTGTTTGGCAACTTTTTTATCCAAATCATGATTTGAGATATTACCCAAACAGGCCTTTAAATTCGATGGGCCGACCCAAATTTCAGTTAAAAATCCAGTTCTCTTTTTCAACCATTATTTCTTCCTCGCAGAAGTGTAAAAATGGCTTAATTAATTTGAGAAAACTAAAAAACTAAATAAATTGCATAATTCTAATAAATATAACACAATCCTCCTAAAGTGTATATTTGTATTGTTAAATCATATATCATTTTATAAATTAGATAAATCAGTTTGTACAGAATTAAAATTATGAACTTGTATTTATGACAGAACCAACTCCCTGACTGAGGGGTACGGGGAGCATTTGTTTTTCCTTGGACACTTGAATTTTACTGATCCAATGAAATGTGTCGCGAGAAAATTGAAAAAAAAAAAAAAGAACTACATAAAAGGGTCGCGTTGTTATTAGCTTGTCACGCATTCCATATTTATGCTGCCACGGTGGACCCATGTTTATTGCTTGTCACGCATTCCATATTTAATAAAAAGAAGGAACAATTAGGTAAAAATTTCCATTTAAAATTTCATTAATGAGCAGGATCTGATAAATTTTGATTCACAAAAAAAGCATTAATATTCCACAAATTTTATACATATGAAGGATTAGCATTCCGATTTAGAAATTTCTCACTAATAAACTTTTCAGTGAGGGAATTTTACACAACTTTTCCTCAAAAAATAAAGAGGCAAAGGTAGCCATACATCATTCAAGTGGGAAAGTAACAATACAAAAAGAAGGGGCCCGGCCAGCTTAGTGGGCACCCAACTGTACAACCACGTCCGCGTCATCCAGCACCAGATCACTTTATTATGAGCGCGGCTGGTTGGTTCTGACTTTCAATCCATATCGTCACTCCCTCTCACTCTTACATGTTCCCTTCTGCTGGGGGTTCGTCCAATTCCCAATTTCTCTTTTCCTGCTTCCTCCCTATCCCAAGTCCCACCCCGTGACCCCAAACTAGCTGCATCCTATATCTCCATCATTGTAATTTTCTCCCCCTTCCAATGCATATATGCTGTGTGCGCCGAATATCTAATCGCTAGTCATGCCTGTTTGTTCATTGTGTTCTAATTGAATGCTCATTCCAATCTGTTGGAGACTTGGACTATATATATATGAGGATGTATAGACAGAACTTTACATTAAACAGGCTCAAATTAGAAAAAAAAAAAATATATGAATAAGATTGACGTATGAATTTAATGTCCTGAAGTACCAGACATATCAGTTATTTGCATATGTGCGCGACCCCAAGCTTAATTGTGATGTAAGTCTACTGGAGATGATATTTTTTTGAGGGCAGGATGAAGACTATGACACCTCTGTCCCAGAAAAGGAATACGATGACATCGATGGGATCCACGATGATATTTGTGGGGCAATATAATATTCATGCAATGCTTTTGGTGTAAATATCTGGATACTATTGAATAAGGTGTAAGCGGCATGCAGACCCAATTAGATGGTTAAAAGTGCCAGCAGAGTCCTAACGCAATTTTAAGCTCTTCACAAATGCAGCTGGTAAGGCGTTGGCAAGGCCGGGTTAAACAAATGCAGCTTCCTAATGTAACTTTGCAACTCATTGATCGCTGCGACTTGCAAAGACGCGAAACGCTGAGAAATGAAATACTGATACGGTATATCTCACTCGTCATGTTCTGGCAAATAAATCAACATAAATAAATATCATCACTTCGTGCCAGTCTAATTCTTGCGTTTGTTTTCTCCACCACTGGGAGCACTCAAAAGTTACTAATGTGGTGGTGAGCCATCAGCGACGGCTGCTTTCATGTCTCAGCGGACCACCTTGAAAGACGAATGTCGTACAGCTGAAATTTTATGATCAGATGAAATAAATTGGGAATTGCAAGTGAACCCTGAAAAGGGGAAACATTAGTACCCACACACACAGTGAATTTTCAATAGCACTTGGAAAATCTGGTTTCGCGCGAGTGTTTTGGGGTCAACACACATACGAGATCATT